TGAAACTGTGCTGGTGTTTGTGAATCTCAATGGCTTCCTGGTATAGTGGCTGGTTGTGTTTTCCCGGTTCTCTTTGTTTTCACAAAGGTTTTTGTGTCCAGTGTGCTTGAGAGCATGTTCAGCTACTGCAGATTTTTCTGGTTGCTGTAGTATGCCGGCCATGAAAGCCTTCGACAATACATCTAGAAAAGAGGTTTGTAAATTATTAATTTACTATTACTGCACTTTTGTAGTACAATGATGTGCAACACGTTTTTGGTTGGTCACTGGACGCTCATTTATTCCTATAATGCAAATCAAATTAGTTTTGTTAGCTTTTGTTAGCATATTTGGAAGTGGCTTTACAGGCTGAACACAAAGGGGTTGGGGGCTCCAGGTTGTTCCCTCCCACTGTGTTGAGCCAAACACTTTCAGGTAGGGTGTGAATCCAGCCAGCCTCTTCCTGTCTTGCTCTTTGTCTGCAAAAAACCTCCTCCTCAGTGCCTCTGCCACTTCCCCATGTTCAAAAAAACCTGGTGCTCCAGACCTTCCGCAGAGACCCTCGGCCCAAGTTTATGTCTGTCTAAGTGACCTCTCCACCCTGATCCAGGGTTTAGGGGCAAAGGGAGCTGCTTTCATTAATGTAGAGCATGTACAGATGGACCAAAAGTATTGGTACCCCTCCACTTTTCCCTCAAAGAATTCAAATTTGCCCTGAAATAAGTTGAAACTGACACAAGTAAATGGTATCTGCCATTCTTTATTCTGTAGTCCATAGAACAGACACTTGGCTTGTGGTGTATGACTTCACATCGCTAGGAGTCGAAAATGACCTAATGGCACATAATCAATTCATTCCCAGATTAGCTACTCTGACATGTTACACACTCAGCCACTTGATTGCAATACATTTATTTCTACAACCAAGTTAAGGAGCACCTGCAGAGCCTGGCTTCTGGCATTCCTTCCACCCCCTAGTAGAGCTGTGCCAGGGTCCCATGACCAGAAGCTGCCCAGCTGCCATGGGAGAGATGTTGGGGAGGGTTTCCTCCACAGCCTCTGGGCCAATCTGGCCCATTCCATTTTCTCTTGGTGGCTTCTCCAGCCACACTAAATTTGGCCCTATTTTGGGAGAGCTACCCTGCTGATAGGCAGAGTGCTGAAGCCTTTTACGTAATTTCATTTTTGGGGTTGGAAAAAAACATTTGTGAGCACAGAACGTCCATCTCTGTTAATGTTAAATATGTGTCAATAATTATTATAAGGGAAAGGTAGATTAGCAAAAACGGCACTCTTTATGCTACATGACAAGCAGAGAACACCAACCTGTAGCTTCTGCAGGAAAGGCTTCCGGTCTTACCATGGAAGCTAGAAGGGAAAAGATGAAACTGGATTTCTGATACTCTCCAGTGTAATTTTTGAGAGGTGTACGGGCCAGTTTTTGAATATAGAATGACCTGTAATTCCACACCTCCTGGAATTAAGGAAAAAAATGTGTTGGCATTTGGACTGAGACTGGGAAAATACACAGAAGCTGAAGGACTGTGGGGCCCCAGGCCTTTCTCCTGCCAAGGGTGACTTTGTCAGGTCCCAGGGATTCCTGGGCCTTCTAGGCTGAACTTGGTTTCAGAGACATTGCCAACCCGTGAGGTTGGCAAAAGCCTCTCCCTTGCTTGCTGTTGAGGTTCTCGGGGGGGGCTGCTGGTTCCTCTTCTAGACCTTCAGCAGTTCCTGGGTAAAATGCTCATCCTCCCTGCCTGGATTGGCCACAGATGCTGGATCTGCCCTCTGGGTGATCCATGGGAATTCCTGGGCAGCCCCTGCTTTCCCTCTTGGTAACCCTGCCCCTTCCTTGGGATTCGCCAGCACACCTGCTCGGCTGCTCCTGCCCAATGCACACTGTACTGCTTTCAGACGGGAGCCTCTGCAGAACGGACACTGCGTGGCGAGGTGGGTGTCTTGCTGGAACAAGGGGAAGGGGGGCACGGCTGTGCAGCAGAAGGCCCTCATTGTCCCCAGGCTCAGCATCTGGCGCTAGCCCTCCGTGACCTCTTCCCGCTTCCTGGCGCCTCTTTCTCCCCCACCCTCTGCCCTTGGCAAGACAGCAGTCTGGGCCCCACTTCCCTTTTTCAGAGAACCCCCTTCTTCAAAAGCCACCGAGGAAAGAAAGAGCTTTTTGCTGCTTCCGACAGAGCAGAGGGAGGAAATAGGCCGTGATTGTCCTCTGTGGTAAAATTAGGGAGGAAAGGGCATCCTAATGAATCTTGCCGGCTGGCAGGGCAGCTCTGCTCCAGACCCAAGGCATGAAAGCAAGGCCCGCTGCCGATGGGCAGA